CCGGCCCCAGCGGGAACCCCCCGCCCCGCTCCCTGCCTCCCGGGGAGGGAGCAGAGGGGCGCAGGGAGGCTGGAGCGCGGCCGCCGCATCAACCCTTGAGGCTTCGGCGGGGGTACGCAAAGGCCCGTGTGGCTCCGGAGCAGAGGCGGAAAAGAGGGGAAAGGGGGAGGAAAGCCCCCAGGATGGCAGAAAAGCCGGGAGTGACCCGGCCCCACCGCTGTGGCTGGGAGCCGCCGAACCCAGAGCCAAAAATAGGCACAGGTGGAACACGTGTGTGCAGAGCCAGGGTGGCCGAGGACACGGGGAGAAGTTTTGATTTGCCTGCAGGGTGCTGGGGGCTCTGGGGGTACGCACGGGGAAAAGGACATTTCTGCAGAGGGGCGAAAGGTGACTTGGCTGGCTCTCCTGCATCCCGGTGGGAGCATCTCCCCCACCAGTGAGCCGCACTGATCCCGGCGGGCTGGTGAAGAGTGGTTGGGGGACATCGCGCTGGAACATGGGACAAAACTGGCGGAGACGTGGGGATGGCTGGGCTGTGACGCCCGGGACAAGGAACGGGAGGGCACCGAGGTCCCAGCTAAGGAGCACACGCAGAAACAGGGTGAGAGAGGGCGGACGGGATGCAGCGTGGCAGCTGGGCTGGGCTGCCATCGCCGTTGGTCAATGAACCCTCCGAGCCAGCCGGGAGATCCTTCACCCCGCGGGGAGGAAAACATCTGGACAAAACAAGCGGGAGCTGCTGAAGAAGGGTTGGCTGAGGGTCTGAAAGGCAGCAGAGCTGCCCGAGGGAAGGAGCGGGCAGGCTTTTAAAAGCCCACCGCGGGCAGGAGGGGAAGCGAAGGCAGCAGGAGGAAGCCTGTCCAGAGGAATTGCAAATGGATTGATAGAAGGAGTTGCAGAAAGCAGCAACTGGAGGACAGCAGCGGGTCTGAAGTGCACAGAACTGATAAGAAGAGATAAACCAGGTCAAAATCCGGCAGGACAAAACCACCAAAAGCACGAGGACAGCAGGGATCCTGGCAGCAGAGCGGCGCTCGCAGGAGATGTTAATAGGGCAGCTGATGCCGCTGAAGAAAAGGCAGAAGCGTTCAATAAACATTTCTGTTCCCTATTTGGCAAGAAGGAGGAAGATGCATTCGCACCACATGAGGATGAAGTACTTTCCAGTCCATTAGTAACCAAGGAAGGCACGAGACAGTGTCTACCACAGATAAACAGCTGTAAAAGTGGCCGAGGAGACCTCTGGGCAGTGCTTCTCATGTCGTGTCCACCCAGCAGTCGCGGGGATGGGCCAGGACTCGGCCCCGCCAGCGGCGGTGGCACTAGCAGGGGGTCCAGGCGCAGGGCGGGGGTGACTGGCAGCCCTGGGATGGTGCTGGAGCCAGGTGATTCCCGATGGAGGGGCGACCCGCAGGCTGCCAGAGGGGTGTCCCCTCTCTCTGTGGCACTGGTGGATGCTGAGGACTGTTTTCAAGCGGCTTCCTCACCCCTTCCAGTGGTCGCCGAGGGGCTGGGCCCCAGGGGAGGGAAGGGAAGCCGAGCCTTGCTGAGCTGCCCGGCAGCATCGGCACAGCCTGGCAGCGGGGCTGGCGAGGGGGTCCCCGGGCGACCCCGCTGCTGCCAGGGCCCACGGCAGCAGGAGGGCGCTGACCTTTCTTGTCTTCCATCCCTCTGGCTGGGGAGCGGCCCCCGTAAGCTGGGGAGGGGGGTCCTGCCGTGCCCCGCCGTGCCGCCGGGCTGTGCCCCGCACC